AAAGTCAAAATGAACTATCTCAGTTTTCATCGCTATGAGAAAGAAATTGGGGTAGTGTAAGAAGAAGCAATGAAATGATCAAGAATTCGTTAATCTAACATTCCAAAAGTGCAAAAGGAGTGGAAATTAAAGAAATAAGTTAGCAAATCAATCGCATTGGAACTGAAATTGCATTCCAACCTAAGACTAATCGATTGAGTATATAAAATAAGTTAATTTGAATGTGAGATGAACTCATTTGTGTTGAATTTATGTAATAGAAGATGACAGAAACCAAGTACCTGTCACGTATTCTTTTCATTTTTGCAGTTTTTACTGAAATGAAAAGATAAGTTAATTCTCACTCTTTTTGCCAACCAACTACCTATATATTTCTATGAAGGAAGAGTAATTAATTGTAATGTGACCCGAAGGTAAACGGAGGGAGGGGGAGATGGAAGATTTCTTGATCCTCCTTGATCTTATGATTGATTGTTGGAAAGGAGGATTCGTTTTGTACTTGTAATCGTTTTCTTTTTGGTTAGTCGAAGAAGCAGTCTTAAATCATTCCTTTAGTTTTCTGGGAGATACCCGAAGATTCCTGGAATTTACCAGTTATTGTTTTCGTTCTGAACGAATATAAAAAGTTTAGTTTTTATTTCAACATTTATTTCTTATTCTACATGTGATATGTATAGTTATAAGACACATCATTTAATGCACAAATTTTCTTTTTATACATATTAATTGTAAGAATTTTGGATCTGCTTTCCTTTCCATTATTTTTATCGTTATGACAGGAAGTGTTATTTTCTGAAACTAGCTGTCCTGATTTCTGTTGACACAGTTTTATTTTTTGTACTTGTAACAATTTTATTTTTGATTGAGAAATGATATGGTTTGAAAATTCACAAAAATGGTTCTCAGAGTTTCAGTGATGTTCAAGAAACAACACTGTTAGTAATACCTGTGAGGAAGATTTGTAGAAAATTTGATTGAAATCGATAACAATTGTTATCAATATCTGTTGACATATGAGCTCATCGTATCCGTTTGATATTGTCTCTCTGACATATAATGAACAATTTAGAGGAATTAAGATGTAATCATTATGACAATTTGTTCTACTAGCATACAGTATTTTCATCCAATCTGCTGTCCTCTTATGAACATATTCAAAATAATCAATAGAGATTCAAAAATTAAAAGATCAAACACTGATCAAATGGCTTTTTTGTAGACAGATCTATGTATTAAACGATGCAGTCCGGAATTACCAGCCTGATGTAATGCTTTAAAATCAATAAGAAATATGAGTTTAAGTAATGATCTATTGGCAAGTAACAGCTAAAGATTTCTACCGTTCCTGAACCTTAGCATTACTGCACGGTTATCATTATTACTATTAGCAGTGGATTTCATACGCATTTAACTCATTTTCTGGTGGAATAAGCGTTGATATGTAAGTTTTTTCCGAAATAGTTTGATTGCTAATGGATTCATTTCCGGTGCTTCCATCATTTAAAAGGTTTCGTAAAACGTTAGTTATTAAAATTGAATCGAAAAAAAAAAAAAAACATAAACAAACAATGATACGAGCTTATCCAATGACAACTTTTGCATACTAAATTAACTATCTCTCTGATGCAACTTCATCTCGTTACAATAATTATATTTTAGTGATCCCAGCTATTTCCTAACCTGAAATCATCTAAAAACATTTAAAAATAGTAAGAAAGTAAAAAGATCTAAATGCTCTTACCTATACATGTGACATATATGTACAAATAATCTGCAAATATCTTCCAAAAAACTACTAGAATGATCTAGAAGTGATTGTTTCTTCGAATAACCTAAAAGAAAACAATTACTTCCTTCCAACAACAATCACTCTCGCAAGGAATTCTCCGTTTACCCATTCCTTCCATCATTTCTCTCCGTTCATATTACAGTAAATGTCCTTCCTTTAATATCTTGTGACTTGCAGAGAGAGAGAGAGAGAGAGAGAGAGAGAGAGAGAGAGAGAGAGAGAGAATCATTAATCTATCTTTCTATTCCAACAAAATTACAAGAATGATAGTAACATGCAACATTCAGTTCCTGTTATCACTTATCATTACGCAAATCAGTTAATTAATCGTTAAGTCTCTGCTTGGGATTTATCTTGATTTATTGCGATTAATTTCAATCAGTTTTATTAGTTTAATTTTTATCTGATGTCACTGATGTATTATTATATAAATATCTAAAATATATTTTTCAAAACAGTTTAACCTAATTAAGGATCAATAGCGATAATGAATAGAAGACAAAATTGAAATTGAATTGATATTTTTTCAATCATATAAGTTATCGGAAAAAGATTGATTAATTATCATGATATATGCTAGAAGCTTGAAGAGAGTCATATATATGCTTTAATTTAAAAGATTGAAAATATGGACGAAACAATTTCATAGCATTAGGGATAGTTATGTTTCAGGAATGGTTTCAGGTTTATAAATCAGTCAAATTTTAGTTCTCAATGATATTAACCAAAAATCTTTTCAAACATATTATTTTAAGCATCAAATTAACTACCTCTTTTAGATCGCATTTGGCTAATTGTTTTCAATCTATTTTGCTTATATTACCTTAATTAGTTGATTGCTTCAGAAAGTTTTACACAAAAGAATATAATTGACGTAAAAATTGAATTAACTGATTAACGAAGTTAATTTGAAAATAAAGCTCAAAAACTTCAAAGCATTTGATGTTATTAATGTAAGCAATGACGATAGCAATATTTGAAGTTTTCATGAAGGTTGGAAAACATGTAAAGAACTCATTTTATAATCAAATTACAATCTTTTCATAAACAAATACCGTACCCATCGGTGTGCATTAACTACTTTAGAATTAGAAATCGCAACTTTTACTAGTTTGTATTCCAGTCAGCTGATTTTCTTTGTTCTCATATCAGTGAGATTTGTGATGGAAACAAAGATTAATGATTAATAAAGTGATACAATATACTATATAATTGTATAATTCTTGCTATATAATTGTATTGTTCCGGATATTATCCCTTATCAGGAAATAAAATGACAAATGTATTTGGTATGATGCACGAGATGCAGGAGGCTATAAAATATGAAACATTTATGCTTTTCACTTTTCTTTTGTTTTACAATGTTGTTCGTAAAATTATATATTGAAAAGATTCAATAGTATGAGAGCAGTGAATTTCTTAGTCATTTTAATTTCCACCGTAAATTTTTTTAAAATTTATTTTACTTTATATCTCACATATAGTTGATCATTACATAATAAAGAAGCTTATCAATTATCAATTAAACAAGTTAAGAAGTCACTTTATGTTTCTCAAATTAAATTTAGCAAGTATCACTTTATTTGATTCTCTAAAATGAAGATGATGTTAAAAATGACAATTTCAAACGAAGTAGAAAAATCATTTTGTAGTCAAATTATAATTGCTTTTTAAGTATTATTACATTTTTATTACAATCGATGTGTTTCAAAATTTCAATTCTTAATTTGTAACATCAGCTTATATATTAGCTAGTTAAAGATCATCTCTTCTTACTGTGCTAAAGTTTTATGATTGAATTTCAATTCATTCTTGATAGGAAAGACTACTGATTAATAAAATGGCACATTTCTACTGTATAATTATACTACTGCTGGTATTATCATCAACCTGTCAAGAAAGAAATACGACATCTGAAGCTAACATAAGAGATGAGAATTACAAATCTACGAAATACATAGCATTTTTGCTAGTTATTGTCCTCTTGGTTTACGGTTTTATCATTAATACACTGATGGCAATCGTATTTCATCGCAGACAAGACAATCATTACAGTCGTGAATTTATTCTTATCGCAACACAGATAATCATTTGCAATTTTATAGCACTTTTCATTCAAGTAATTGTTGTTTTACCAGAGATATTACGAACTAAAAATAATCTATTCGGTTTGTTTTATTTTTATCTCATCTCTCCGCTCTCTTCCAGATAACATTTCCTAATTGTTAATTCATTATCATTCATTGATAATCATCTAGAAGAAGGGAACCAGATATCATTCCCTAATCATTGATAATCATTTAGAAGATTGAAAATGGCAAACAGCAAACAGTTTTTAAGATACTAACTTTTAATTGTACCAGTAATCAAAAAAATGCCTCTATTCTTGCCCAATAAGGCAGATAGTGAGTTTTTTCTCACTGATAAATTTTGCTATGATAAATACACACTTGAATTTTCATCAGTAACTAATAAATCAGGAAACTGAAATTTACAGTGTAAAAGTCTACATCAATGGTTAACTCTTTAAGGTATGTCAATAATTTTTTGTTGTATTGCTTTAAAATATATAATAGCTATATTAATCCTACTGTAATATTTAAAAATTTTTTTTTAATTAATTTCATTTGCAGTGAATCAAACAATATGGATTAATTATACATTCTCATCTTTTAATAATTTTTCACTTTTCGCTATACTTAATTTTTCATTTCTACTAACAGTGAATCGTTTTGTGGTGTTAGTTTTACCGAAATACAATGTATTTTTCGAATCAACAAGATTATATTTTCTAATCATTCTCGTTTGGTTGTTAACTTTAGGTATATGATTCATTGATATTTCTTAAATAATAAAGCATTTCTAAGAATAATTAATTTTTGATAACAATTTATAAACTCATTTTGCTACAGTAACTAAGATCAAGTTCTGGCAAAAATCATAAGCATTAGATGTTGAAAGTATATATAATTTTATCAGCTATAAATTAATTCATACATATCAGAATTTATTTATACTTATCCATTCTGAATACTTTGTTACCAGTAAATTCTGCATTAAGTATAATGTGAAACTTATTCATTTATTATCTATAATGAAGATTAAATTTGCAGTATTATCAGCTATTGACTCTCATTTTTGCATTAAAAGCTTTCACATTTCGAATCTGTGCTGGATAAGGAATTGCAGAAAACGGCTAAATTCAGTATTTATGGGGTTAAACCTCATTTGTTGTTTTATTCTTTTAGCTTTAATAAATATTAAAATTTGAAATTTCAAAAAATAACTTTTTGTATTTGTATTACTCCAAAAAAATACTAACTAATTCATTAAAATATCATATGAAATCTGGTAAACAACAAATTTTCATATTACAATAGATATAGGGAAAATGAAAAATTTTCATTGCTAATTTATTTAACAAACTTTCAGTGTTCATTATATTTGGTCATCATTTTCACCAATTGCAATGTTTATTATGTACATTGTAATGTTCTACAATATACGTTGTAAACGTCAACTTGCATCAAAGATTCATTATAATCAAGGTATGTTAAAAATTTTTTGCATTTGCTTATATTTAAATATATTAAAAAATGTTTGCGGAAAATTTCCATCATAAATCTTAAGTTTTCAATTTTACATTTTAAATTAGCTAAGATTATTTAGATGACTTGGTAATATCAATGAAACGTAAACTGAATATGGCAAGAAATAATATTCATGAGCGATCTATGCTAATTCAAGCAGCATTGACATGTGGAATATTTGAAATGAATTTTCTTTTTTTTTATCTTTTACCACCGTTTATAATTAAAATATTTGATGAAAGAGCTCATATTCCATTAAGAATTTTCATTAATTGTTATATTATTTTCATTTATGCTGCATTACCCACTGTTTATTTCCTCTGCAACAATCGAGCTCGTAGAATTTTAAAACATTATTTCTTGCAGTTAAGACATTAACATTTGAACGATCAATTCGTGGAGTTAAGAGATCAGCATTTCAAAGATCAACATGTCAAAAAAAAGTATAATCATTGTTTAAATCTATGATTTTATCAGAATGCATCTACAAGCTTAAAATATTTTACTTGAAACATAAAGTTTGAATAAATTGCTATGCTAATAAAGCATAATAAGTAATTCGAGAATTGAATTTGATAATTAGACGTAATCTTGATTATACTTAAATTTCAGGGATTTTTTTTTCTTAGAATTTGCTGCATATTTTCAACCAGCTAAATTAGCAGCGATAATATGGTTCTTTCTAATGGCTTAAATAATTAAGCGTAAAATTTTTATCGATATTATTTTGCTTAACTCATCATTGTTAATGCAACATACAATTCCGATTATTACTATGAAATATATTTGTTCGACTTTCCTAAGATATTTAAGTATGGAACATTATTATCAATATCAATAACTGATAATAATTCACTGATATTCAAATACTATGGATTAAATCATTAAATCAAAAATAGAAGTTATCAATATTTGTTAATTTTTGGTTTTTAAAAAGATAATTTTTATCTGAAGTATTAATTATTCACATATTTTGCTATTATTAATATGATTGTAAAAAACAATTATGTGTAATTTGTCATTTTCTTTTTTCATATATCATTTATTCATTATTCATTTGGTAGAAATAATTTTAATTGATAATAAACAATTGCGTCTACTAAGCGCTTTGCCATATATTTATTTTCAAAATTTAAATGCTTAATTTAATACAAATTAAAAGAATGAAATTTATTTACATAAAAGTTAACTAAATACTATGTTAAATACAAAAAAAAAAAAAAACTTTGCAAGGAATCGCTAAAGTATAAATAATTTTGATGAAATAACACAAAGGAAAGTTACTTTAGTAACTATCATATTACAGTATATCTCTGATATAATATCATATCTTATCAGTTAGCAAGTTATTATTGCCAGGTTTCAAACTATAAATTAACAAAAAAAAAAAAAATCTATCAAATTGTAACGCAAAAAGCACTAATTAAAGTCTGAAATTTGCTCGAAAATTGAAAATTTTTTAAGCAAATCATTGATTTATTGATCATTGATCATCCATATATAATTCTTAAAGTAGCTTTATAAAGTTATTATAATTTATACTTTCTTCGTTAATGAAAAATAAATAGGATAGTAAAGTAAAAAAAAAGGGAAAAAAAAAACATAAACAAAAGATCAAAGCTAAGAAAAAAGACAATTTATTCCATTTTATTGTGCTCGAATTAAAATTTAAATTCCATTAGCATTAATTGGTCGGACAATGATTTCCGGATTCCTTAAGGAATGTTGAAACATGATCTGCGAACCATCGTGGATATTTGATGTGAAAATCATGACCACCAAGAAAATGACCATCAAGTCTAAAAAAAAATGACCATAAATCTGAGAAATTCTTTGTGTATGCATAAATCAGTTTCATTAAGAAATGAATAAAAGCAAAAAAAAAAAATAAATTAAAAAACAAATTATAATATGCTGAAGACGTAAACAAAAACAAATGAGTAAATATAATAAATAAAATTTAAATGGAAGCATTAAATATTATTATAGCATATCAATATTTTAGTATAAGGAATGGAAATTTTTAAGTTCTTTAAATGTAGAAAAAAAAAAAAAAAGAAGGAAAAAAGAAATTATACTTGCAATTGGGAATAACAGTTGCAAAATATTTCGGATCGTTACAAAATCTATCCATGCCACCATTTAGAACAAGTACAGGAATTTTTAAACTTGGTAGAATGTAATCTGATGGAAAACGTCCACCAAGTAAATCATAAACTCTGGAAATTAAATAAGAAAAAACAAATATCACTAATTAAATAATAATTTTATGAATTGATTTTACAGTTTAACGGTAAATAAATATGGTTATTTGAAATGAAAGTAGTAGTTTAAAAAAAAAAAAAAATATGTCGATGAAGGAGAAAGTTAAAAAAGAATTTATTTAAAATCAATTCATTACATTATTAATTTTTTTTTATTTTAGGCAAACACTCTATTTTTAACATTTTTAGATAAAAGAAAAGTTCGTAATTTATAAATTCTAATTTTTGATAAGTAATACTATCGCTAAATTACTTACTGTTGAATTACATTACATAAATCTATCCATTGTTTTTTTACGAATTCTTCCGGATAATAAGGCAAAAATGCTTTCATAGTATCCGGTAACCATTGATCTGTATTACGCATACCTGAAAATTTATATTCCAATCAACCGTTTCGAAAAAAAAATTTAATTAGAATAAAATGTGAGTGAAAAAAAAGATTTAACTATGACCTCCATTTAAACATAAAATTATTATTATTATATGATTAGTTTCCAAAAAAAAACGAAAAAATTTTAGCTAAAAAAAATGAAAAGCTAAGATAATTTATACCATAAGTGACACGTGCAGCACGTGAATCAATACGTGTAGCTGCAGAAAGTAATATCATATTGTTGACAAGTTGTTTACCACGTGCAGCTACGTGAATTGCTGTGCGACAACCTTCACTCCAACCCAATACTGTGAAAGGTGTTAAATTTAATTGCTGAAAATAGAAAAGAAAAATACATCGAATTTTAATGCTTATTATTATTTATCTATAATCAAAAAAAAAAAAAAATGTAAACGTTTATTAAATTACAAAACTCAAATTTCAATAAAATTTTCCAGAAAAATTACTAATTTAACAATTTTTAATTATTTCTATTTATAATTATTTACATTTATAAATAAATTTTTTTATAATATTTATAAATTCACTCAATTATTGATTTTAATTAAACAGTGAAACCTTTATAATACAAATAACATCTGTTAATGATATTTCACACAGTGATATTTGTGATAAAAGAATGGAAAATAAATTGCACTACAAAATTAAAAAATTCATTTTTAGTCTTCTAATATTTTTCTAATGCAAAATTTTTAATTTTTTTTATGTGACAATTTTATAAAAAAATTTTCTTAAAAAAGTCAAATAAAATTTATGAAAAAACCTGCATAAGTTTAATACAGAAAGGTGCATCTTTCATGCATCGATTCACTTCTTGTCGCCTTAAAAAAAAAAAAAAATGAATGAAAAATTTTGAGTTTATAAAAATATCAATTCTTCACAATTATTTGTAGTTTGCTGAAAATGCAAAAAAAAAAAAAAAATTTGTTTATATTATGGTAAATGAATTAAAACGATAGTTTTTAAGATTTAAGTTATTAAACAGGTTATCATCAAATATTTGTTTTTTTTTTTTTTTTTAAAAAAAGAGTTATGTGATATAAATATACCTGTTTGGTGGACGACTGGTACCGTAGCCAGGTGGATCAATACAAACTATAGAACAAAACTTCGGATTAAAAGCTTTCAATACTTTTTCCGGAAAATCCTTCTTATAACAACCTGAAATTAAAATTACTCATTGCTTTTTTTTCTTTTTTTGCTTCTCTTTAAATTTTGCAAATTTCGCTCTCTCAATTATTTATAACTATTAATATCCCACAAAAAAAAGTGTTATCATTTGCTTAATTTCTTAGTTTATTAATTTAAAATAAAACTAAACTAATAATTCATTAGTATTTTCAAATTCATTTCTCAAATTTATTTAATCAAAGCTAAATATAATAAGAAAACCAGAGTACTTTTAATATTTAAAGAAAAAGGAAAAAAAACAAACTTCACCAATTAAAGTTTCAAAAAAAAATTTTTTTTTAATTTTTTAGTAAACAAAAACAAAGCGAACAAAGTAAATAAATAAATAAATTTCTTACCAACACCGCCACAAATAAATAACATATTATGCTCTCCTCGACCATATCTACAATATCCTATCTTCTGTTCATCGATTGTCGTAATTGATTCCATAATTTCACATATTGAATCTTTTTCATTATTAGTATCATCGGTGAATTCCGTAAGATCAATTGGCATGGTCCAATTTGATAATGAAATTTAAAAAAAAAAATAAAATAAAAAAGATGAGAAATAATTTATCAATTATTTCATCCAAATGAACATTTGATAAACAAAATAAATGCATTCAATTAAATAAGCATAAACATAATAGAGTTATAATTACTTTTTTTTTAGCCATAATTCTCCTATAAATAATTAAATTTAAATTTTATTTTAATGCATAAGAAAAAGAGAAAAATTTCTAATCATTAAATAAATAATAAATTAGGCTCTAATAATAGTAAAATATTATTCGATTTTAATAGAAGTTGGCATTGGTATTTATTGATAATTTAATGAATGATTTCTGGGTCGTCCGATAAGATATTTTGAAAATGAAGAATGGACATCCAATTTTGCAAACTTTTCATAGGTGAAATCGTACGTAAAACGAATTTTGTCTAAAAGTTTCATAAAAATATATCGCTTTTTTTCTTTTTGCTTTTTTTTTTTTAGAGGAAAAAAATTTGCATATTTATAAAAATTACAACTTATTTTAATTTGATAAAATAAATACTTTTTTTTTTTAGCAAAAAGATGTACATTAAATGGATTATATAAGGCTGAAAAGTTTCATCAAATTAAATAATCGAATTTCAATGTTATAGCATAGTTCATCTTTAAAAATAAATTATGATGATTCATTTGAAAGACCTGTTTAATAAATATTGCTAACAATAATTGGCAAAAAAAAAAAAAAAGAATGATAAAAAAAAAATTATAGAAAATTTTCATTCAGCAATTTTAAATTTTAATTTTCATCATTTTTTTCCCACTTCTTTTCATTTTTTTTTTTTTTTTTTGCTTTAAATCATTAAATAATGCTAAATGACACATAACAATTTGCTTTCTTATTTTTGCACAATTATCTTACAAAAAGAAAAAAATTTACAAAAGTACTGGAAATGAAAAACTAAGAATTTTGATGAATAAATTATTAAAATAGAAATTTGCAAATGAAATTAGCGCAAAATATTACTGCAAAATAAGACAATAAGAATTAAATTAAACGGCGAAATAAGAAAAGAAATAAGAAGAAATGAAAATTTGCAATAAAGTGTGAAAATTGTTTTTAAATAAAAATTTATTAAAAAAAAAAAAACTACAAACTGGTCAAATTACCTCCATAACATACAATTTTTGTAGTAATATAAACAAGTTTTAATGGATAATGAATTGATGAGACTAAATAAAACAATGAATCAGGTACTTCGCAGTACTTCATGGTACTTAGTACTACTTATTTTAGAAATAAAAGTAAAAAATCACAAAGTATGAAAAAA